CTCCTTCTGTGCACCATAGCCAAAATCAGACTGGACCACGCCAACGTGATCCTGGTTGCCCCATGGTGGCCAAGGCAGCTGTGGTTCACACTCCTCAAAACACAGAGCAGTGACTATTTCTGACTGCCACTGGTCCCGCACCTGCTCTCGCAACACCACGGCCAAACTCACCACCCAGACATACGAACCCCCAACCTCACAGCTTGGAGGATCTCGCCTCAGTAAATGAAATCCTGGCCCATGCACATAACCCTTCCACAACTAGGCTGTACTACAAGTGGTCTAGCTTCAAAAAATTTGCTACACAACTCAATTTACCAACCTCACCTACCAATCTTGACATTGTCCTCCAGTTTCTATCCCACCTTTTTCATAATCACCTGTCTCTCTCAACACTGAAAGTCTACCTCTCCACAATCATCGCTCATCAACGGCAAGCTTCAGACGCCTCCATGCTCTTCCGTCACTCAAGCAGTTCTTGCGAGGTATTGCCAACATGCACTCTCCTGCTCCTTCACCGCCTCCACAGTGGTCCCTCCCCCTAGTGCTGCACTGCCTCTCTCGTCATTCATTTGAGCCATTGGCAACTGTGTCGGAATACCTCCTCTCACGGAAGGTGCTGTTCCTTGTCACTATCACCTCCGCACGTAGAGCTTCAGAACTGGCTGCTTTGCGGACTGATCCTCCCTTTCTCCAGTTCCATCCTGAAAAGGTTACCTTATTTCCAGACATCTCATTCTTACCTAAGGTGGTGTCAATGTTCCATCTGTCACAACCTATTATTCTTCCCACATTTTTTCCATCCCTGTCAATGGACTTCGAGAGATCATTACATTCACTAGACGTAAAGAGGGCCCTCTCCTTCTACCTCTCCAGGATGGCCTTTCAGAAAGTCTAAGAGATTCTTCGTCTCTCCCACCCTCCTCACAGAGGATCCCATGTGTCTTCCCAAATGTATCTCCAGGTGGTTGGTCTCCACTATTAAGCTAGCGTACCAAATTGCCAAGAGACCGTTACCTGATGGCATCAAACTCATTCTATTAGAGCCACGGCTACATCTGCAGCTTTCCTTTGTGGAGTTCCCCTCCCAGATATTTGCAAAGCTGCCATGTGGTCTACGCCATCCACATTCGCCGTCCACTACAGGCTGGACCTGAGGGACAAGCCTAATGCCTCCTTTGGTCAGGCTGTGCTGTCTTCGATCATGTCGTGACATCCCTCCGCCTCTGAGGTAAGCTGGTTAGTCACCCATTAGTGTGCATTCACATAGGCCACGAAGAAGAGAGGTTACCTACCTGTAACTCTGGTTTGTCGAGTGATACTCTGTGAATTCACATTTCCCGCCCGTCTTCCCCTCTGTCTGTCACTCTTGCGTTAATTATGCACCGGCAGACAACCTTTAGAACTGCCTGGAGGGTGGGTGACCTCATGGATGGGAGGGGGCGGTCCTACTTAGATTAGCATAAAGCTCTAGAATATTCCAGAGATCTCTGCACAGGTGCAGAGTTAACCCATTAATGTGAATTCACAGAGTACCACTCAAAGAACCAGAGTTAAAGGTAGGTAACCTCTCTTTTCTCCATTATCCAGTGCAACTTAGCAATTTGGTTTCTAGTTCCTCTGCCCCTTCGAAATCCAGCTTGTACTTCTGGGAGTTCTCGGTCCACGTACTGCTAAAGCCTACCTTGTAGGATTTTGAGCATAACCTTGCTAGTGTGTGAAGTGACTGCAATTGTACAGTAGTTGGAGCATTCTTTGGCACTGCCCTTCTTTGGGATTGGGATGTAGACTGATCTTTTCCAATCCTCTGGCCACTGCTGAGTTTTCCAAACTTGCTGGCATATTGAGTGTAGCACCTTAACAGCATCATCTTTTAAGATTTTAAAGAATTCAACTGGAATGTCATCACCTCCACTAGCCTTGTTGTTAGCCAGGCTTTCTAAGGCCCACTTGACTTCACTCTCCAGGATGTCTGGCTCAAGGTCAGCAACCACACTATCTAGGTTGTCTGGGACATCCAGATCTTTCTGGTATAACCTTTTTTGCCTGTCTTTTTCTGTTTGTGAATGGAAGCTCTGGTTGCAAATAGAATTAAAATTTTGCAACCGGAGCTGTTTATAAGTGGAAATGGTCATAAGTAGGGGTGTTTGTACATCAAGGCACCACTGTAGGCTAATAGACATGCACCAGAATTTTTAAAAACAGCAGCTAGATAAAGTATTTTGAACAATAATTTTTAAATAATTTCCTGATCTTTCTTTGGACAGATGAAAGGGCAACATGATAAATAGGAGACCAGATGCTGCCCTTTCATCCATGCCCAAAAATATCAGGACCACACACACCAGAAAGACCACTGTTAACGACCAATCTACCAAGCCTGTTCAAACCAGGGGGAAGTGAAACCAATGTGGAGGATATATCAAGGGTCTCCTACCAACTCTCCTCAGACTGAAGAAGCTACTTGGATAAGTAGCGAAACGTTTTAACCTAATAAGAAAGAAGTTCAGTTGCCATGACTCAACTTTCAGATAACCTCACCTGGATGACTGAGAATCTTCACAGATTTATCACAAATGATTACATTTATTCACTTGCTTACTTATTAGCTGCCTTTCTCTCTATAGAGGACACAAGGCTGCTGACAAGCAATTAAAAGAACATAATAAATACAATAAAACACAGCAAACAGTAATATTAAAAGAAATTAAACAAATAGCTGTGTTAAAAATCACAATTTAAAAATTTAGCTATAATGGCCCCTATTTGCTCAAATCAATTAAAAGACTCTCTGAAAAGGAAGATCTGTGCCTGCCAGTAGAAGGACAAGAGGGAGGGAGACAACTAGCTTTGTGGGGGAGTGCAGTCCATAGACTGGTGGTGCACTCTTTCTCACACCCTTACTAATTGATCCTGTGAGTGCAATGGGACCAAGAGAAGACCATCGCTAGAAACTCTTTGTAAGTCTGAAGAGGTTTGTATGAGGTGACATGGTCTTTCAAATCACCTGGAACCAAGCTGTAGAGAGGTTTACAGATCATGACCAACACTTTAAACCAGGCTTGGAAATACAGTAGATCAGCAATCAGTGAAGCTGTTGTAATAGAGGAGTTATGTGCTCACTCTGAAAAATGCTAGTCAGCATTATGGCTGCATCATTGTGAGCCTCCTGAAACTTCCAAACCCTCTTCAAAGGCAATCCCATGTAGAGCAAGTGCCAGAGCAACTTCTTTTTGTAGTAGGAAGATAGGCCCAAAACTTTGCCATGAAGGTAGGCCAAACCTAGGCCTGAAGCTTCCTTGTTTTTTGTTTAGTCCATTAAGTCATGTCCGACTCTTCATGACCCCATAGACCAGTGCATGCCAGGCTCTCCTGTCTTCCATTACCTCCCAGAGTTGGGTCACATTCATGTTGGTAGCTTCGATGACACTGTCCAACCATCTCGTCCTCTGTCGTTCCCTCCTCCTCTTGCCGTCACTCTTTCCCAACACCAGGGTCTTTTCCAGGGAGTCTGCTCTTCTCATGAGATGGCCAACGTATTGGAGCCTCATCTTCAGGATCTGTCCTTCCAGTGTGCTCTCAGGCTTGATTTCCTTCAGAATTCATAGGTTTGTTCTCCTTGCAGTCCAGGGGGCTCTCAAGAGTCTCCTCCAGCACCACAATTCAAAAGCATCAATTCTTCGGCGGTCAGCCTTCTTTATGGTCCAGGTCTCACTTACATACATTGCCACTGGAAAAACATAGCTTTGACTATGTGAACTTTTGTTGCCAATATGATTGCTTTTCAAGATGCTGTCTAGGTTACGAAGCCTCATAGCCTGACCTTTTTCTACGTAATCAAAATTTAGGTGTTTGTAGGTATGGATCTGCCAGGTAGAATTCCCAGAACAGAGAATTATGGGATTTGGAATCCAGAAAATAATGAATGAGCACATTCCTAACAGTTTCTACTAAATTATATCTGCTCAGAGTTTTCTATCATTTTTGCTCTAGTCTCTGTCCCACTCATTTCACTGTCATCGTTCCCCCACTCCATAATGAACTGTAGTGGCAAGACTCACCCACCTTCCTCTATGCTGGCACCAAATAACAGCACCACCAAATCCTTGCACTAAGTTTAGGACTACTGTCTAAATTGTAAATAAGGACTCCTTCCCTCGGATCATTATTTTACCAAACTGGACACACAACTTGTGTTCCTTTTCCATTGGTGCTTTAATAATGCCAGATCTAAGGACTGTATTCACACTGCTCTTTTTAAATGAGTAAGAACACTTTTGGTGAACCCCAAACAGCCTATATTATTTTTATGACACAGTCTTGACTGTGTGTCCCAGTGTTGGTCTGCAGTAATCATAGTATACTGTAGTATCTTATGACTGCTAAATCAGAAATAATAACCATTGTTTGAAAACCAAAATAACTTTTTTTAAAGCACAAAATTTCAGATGTACAGTCTGTCAAGTTTTTCATCAGTCAGCTCTTTTTATTTTCTCTTCTCACTTTGTAGCTTAAGCATTTATAATTCTTTATATGTGTCTGTACAGATTTTTACCCCCATCCTGCAAGAACATAAGTTAGACTTCACCACTTCCTCACACAGACAGTACAACTCTTAGCAAACTACCTCACAGCTTTCTCTCTTAATCTTAGACTTTATTCTAAGAGCCCTATAGCTCTTTTTGTCTTTATCTCCCTTATCTCTCATAGACACCTCCCACCATTAAGGGTGTGCCATTCATTGTTATTGTTTTGGACTCCAGCTCCCAGATTTCTCCAAGAATTACCCAGACCGAATTCTGAGAGTAACACATATCTACAGACACCTTCACTTACTCAACTGGACAAAAACAAAGCCTTCTTCTAGGTCTTCTTTTCTTGCTGCAGTGCCTCCTGGGTGGAAGCTGCCACAATGCTTTATATGAATGGTGGTTCTTCAGGAGATGCTCGCTATAGGGCATAAAAGAGCAATGAGACTACCACTCCCTGAAGCATTGCAGCAGGAAAAGAAGGCCCAGACAAAGTCCTAGAAGAAGGTTTTAGCCTTTTCCAGGTGAGTTGAATGAAGGTGTCTGCAGATATGTATTTCTGGGCTGGAATGCCAAGAATTCTGCCTGGGAAATTCTTGGAGAATTCTGGAAGTTGGAGTAAATTCAGAGAGAGAGAGAATAGTATACTTTTACACTTCGTGACAATGGATGACACGTAGAGTTCCTCCACACCGGGATTATCAACATTCTGTGCAGCACAGAAAGCTAGTTCCAGAGAGTTCACTGCAACATGAGGAGGGTGGGGATTATTTTTTAAATAATTTATTTTATACTTAGGTATTTTAGAGTGCATTTTGTATTGTTTCACATTGTTATATTTTATTTTATACTTGAGTTGTGCTTAAGGTTCCCTCTAAGACATACACATGCTTGGGTGCACACAGCTCTACCTCCCTCGGCACAACCTTTTTTCCTCCTCCATGCAGTGATTGTGTTCAACCCTTTTGGTTCCAGTCAAGACGGAACCCTGAACCTGGAGGGGGCAAAGTTGTGCATGCACACAGGGGTGAAGGAGAGAGAGAGAGGCAGAGCACCGCGCAGTGGGGCTAAAATTTAGAGGGTACATTAGTTTTATTATATGATTTCATTTGTGTTACTTTTGTGTTGTGAACCACCCAGAGTGGTCGGAGACCAGATGGGTGGTATATAAATCTAATAAATAAATACCACATGGGCTAGCCCCAAGTGGTCTTCATGATAGACGTCCTGAGCCACTCCTCATAAGGTGGCTTTAGCATGAACATAGAACCCCTCCAGCACAACAAGCTGAGGAGATATCAGCAACACTCTAGCTAGCTCAGAAAAGGGGACTATTTTGCAGTGGGGTCGGTGGGACCCTGGCAGAATTCCTAATCTGTCCTAGACACCCACTCTCAACTACATCCACTCCAACCCAGGAAAACGTGGGAGAGGACACTGTAAGAGTGGTGGAATTTTAATTATTGCAACTCCTCCTCCTTACTCCCACGTATTGTTTGTTGCTGCACAGACAATCCAGATGGACAAAGCTGAGAAACACAACCCCCTAGCTTCATCCAGCTGCTTCTTACCCTTTCACTGACCATTCACTGACCATCAGTGAAGCTAGTTTCATTAGGCAACTGGAATGCTTGCTTCTATATATTTGGTCCAGCATTTGCCTAGAGCTAATGACAATTTGGTAACAAATAAAGATGTCTGCACAAGTTCTTTTTAACATTTTTTTCAGTGTCCAGGTTTCATGTTCTGTTTTAAAATATAAATATATACTTCTTATTTTTCAGCCAACTCAGACTGTAATGCCTGGTCAAGTAATGCGAGTTACAACTGGTGCTCCAATACCCTGTGGTGCTGATGCTGTGGTTCAAGTAGAAGACACAGAACTCATCAGGGAATCAGATGATGTGAGTGGTAACAGAAAATAGTTGTATGTCTGGCAATATATTTTTAGGAAATCATTTGGCAGTCTATAAACATGGTGTCTGTATATCGTTGAGAAATGTAACAAATAGTGGATGTATTTTCACAGATTGTACCATTGGTTATGTCTATACTGGATGGATGTATACTTATTTTGGGTTTTTCCCTGCCTGGTTTGAGGATGGGACTGATAGGTGAAGGGAAGAAACTGAGGTGCAAGAAGCAGATTCTAATTTAGAACAGTGCTTTAAAATGGTGAGCAAAGATCCAGTAACACCTGAGAACCCTGAGCGGAATGCTGCAACTGTAGGAAAGCCAACCCTAGAAAGAGCAGCATGCATACAGTGCTCCAAAAAGAATTAATGCTGGCTTGGAGTTTATGGGAATTGTAGTCCAAAAGGATTCCAAGTGTGATGTAGTGGATAAAGTACTGTAATGGACATGGTTTGAATTTCCACTTCACCATGGAAACTCATTGGCGGAGTGCAAATGGCAAAACTACTCCCTAAATATATCATTTACCTTGAAAGCTCTTTTAGGGTCTCTATTCTTCTTCATAGTCTTTGTGATCAACATTCATGCCTTTTGTACCTACACCAAGAAATCTCCAGAATATTTTAGAGTTCAGTAGACTTTCTTCTGGGATCCACCCTCTTCAATATGCACATCCATGTGTCTAACCAGTTTCCATCAGCTCCTTTTTCCTGTTGTAGCAAGCACTTGAAGGACCTTTCTCAGAAACTCTTATATCTCCAGGATATTGGTTAGTTTGCCTATGGCCATGACAGCTTTATTCAAAAAGTCTTTATCACCTATGGGTGGAAAATAGTTGTTTCAGATGGATGTTGAAAGTGTTTGTTCCATTAGGGTGAAGGAATTTAATCCAGCAGTGGTCTGCCCTTGTTTTACAAGTTGTATCTGTATGAGAAATTCCTACAATCTCAGGACTTATCAGCTAACATAAAGCCTGCTTCCCTGGTAGTTCTGCAGTATGTAAATCACGCAAGGCATTGATGTCAGCTCTTAATCCATCCTCGCCATCTCCATCAAACTCAGTGGTAACAGTAACAGTACCATCAGAATCCAGTAACACTACCAAGGCCTCAGAACTAGGGATACCCTAAATGATGAAATTGGTTTTGAAAGATGCAGTGAAGCAAATGAATGATCACTCAAAGACCAACTCCAAACCAAAGAAACATGATTAAAATACAAACCAGCTGAATCAAAGCCCTTGTTGTTGGTTTGTTATTCGGCCAATGGCTGCTATATCTAAGTTTCAAAGCACTGTCACAATAGGCACTGACAGTTGTCTATTCTTACCAACTGCAGGAAGATCTGGACCATAATTCAGAAGCTATTGTATGTATGGTCTCATTCTTGGAGGAAGAACTTTGAAGCAGCTTTGTACACAGTGCAGTTCAACTGCCAACTGACACTTAAAGGCTGCAATTAGCCCTATTAGACACAAAGAGCATCACCAGTACTGAGGGAGATGTTTGAAGGAAAGGTCAGAGTCAATATCAACATCCCCCATCAACATCATCCTTACTACAGGTGCCTTTCTAGGTACTATGGTTATACTATATGAGAATATACTCTTCCCTTCCTACATTATCACAAGTTTTTCAATTATTGGCTGTGTCTGACATCAGTGAGAAGATTACTGGTTGTACTGTGTAAATACCATACCAAAGATAAATTGATCTTGATCATCTCAGGGAAGTCAAACTTGGTCTCCAACTCATTATTTTTATTCTCCATGTCATTCTTCTGCTGAGTGACTAGCTCACTGAGTTAGATATCTGGCTGCGGAGGCAGAGACTTGGGAACTCAGTTCCCAAACATACCTCACAGAAGAGCCATCCTATGTAGCTTTACACAAGCTGCACAGTTCCAGTATGCCCCCAGAAAAACGGAATGGTAAACCCAAGTATTCTCTACGTAGAAAATGATGGAACCTAGAAAACCTGGAACGAATTACCAGAAAAGGTGGTGCGTGGAGTCATTGAAGATAAACTTAGACAACCTTTTGGCAGATACCTTTGACTTGTATTCCTACATCAAGTAGGGGGTTGGACTTGATGACCCTATGGGCCCCTTCCAAATTCACTATTCTGTGATTCTATGAAACCATGGAAGGGTTACCATGAGTCACAATTGACTTGATGTTACACAATTGTTGTTCTTGTTATGTCATTCTTGGTACCAACAACTATAGGCAACAATTTCAAACCTGCTTCCAGAAGTGCCATCATGAAAAAAAGGTTTGCTACCACTTTCAAGGTGTGCATCCATTCTGGGACAATTTATTACTTCTCTCGTAACACAATATCAGAAACTCTTGCCCTTCTTGAAGCCCCCAAAGTTCTCAAAGATAGAGTGTTCTAAAGAGCAATGGAGAACACAACCATTAAATTTTACTTCCTCAAACAGAGCAGAACAAATTCTCCACCACTTCAACTCAGTGAAGCTCTGGGAATGATGCATTGCTAAACATGTTCTTCCTATTACTGTGCATGTGGCAGGACAAGACAATCAAAAAGCAGATAGCTTAAACTATCAAAGCACTGAATGCCATGAATAGGAGTTAGCCCATTGAGTGTTCAAGGAGGTAATACAGAGGCGGGGTCATCTTGAAATAGACCTTTTTGCTTCAACAGAGAATTAAAAATGCTGACTCTTCTGCACTTGGTGTCTCTGGAAAGGGATATCACTGATTGAGAAATGCCTGTCTCTTCCAGTTCTCCTGGAGACCCTTTCCTCTAATTTTGGTCAAGATCAAGTAAAATAGATTGTTGTTCTGGTATCACTCAGCGGCCCAGACAACCTTGTTACTTCTTTCCAAGGAAGAATACCAGAACCTCTCACTATAACCAGACCTGCTGACTTGAAACAAAGGTCAAGCACTATATTTGGTCCTTGCCAAGCTGTAGTTGACAGCCTGGAGAATTCAACAATGACTACTTTGCCACTCTAATTTGTGTCATTTTCTCAGTAGTCCTATGTTTACAAATGGATATGTTTTGTGAATTTCATCATAAAGCCAAAAACATTAGAAATGGCATTCTGAGTTCTACTCCACCTCAAGGATTCTTGATTTCCCAGTTTGTCTATATGAGCGCATCCATCAGTAATTCTTGTGAACCCATCATAAGTTCATTAGCTCGAAAACAATTATCACAGCTCAAGAATATATGTCCACCAAAACAATCTCCTACATTTCTTTGGTTTTTATCTCTTGTACTAATGCACTTGAAGGTCTCATCTTTTGAGCCAATGCCAGTGGCAGACCTACATTTAATTATTTATATAAAAAAATCTCATGGTGATTATTTCAGCAGGAAGAGCAAGTGAGCTGGCTGCTCTAAGAGTAGATTATCCACATCAATTCACAAAGGAGGCAAAGTTATCATGTTATCTCATCCTTTAAAGAGTCCGATCCTGCATACTGCAAGATGTTACTGACAAATCTGCCAATGGATAGGATTTTCATTTTTGCTGGGAAACATGTTCCAGGATCAAATGTGTTCTGCTAAAAGCTAGTCCAGTGAGATGGTTGGCAGAAAACTATATTTTTACTCTCATAATTGCCACATTTTCTATACAGATGAAAGGGCATAAGCAGAGACATTTAAGCTTTTGTAAAATATTAGGCTTGAGAGGTGAATAATAGATTAAATTAAAATATTGTGGGGAATGGCAGAGGTAATATGAAAACATCCCATAGAATCACTGTATATTGACATAAAAATTGTTGTGATCAAATCATGACTTCAGCATACTTGTTAAAGTATTAAATATAGTGGATTAATACTTATTTAGCATTCTGTGTTTTAAGAAATAAGCTATTTTATTTATTTAAATATAGGGCACCGAAGAACTTGAGGTACGCATCCTAGTGCAGGCAAGACCAGGCCAAGATATCAGGTCAGTGCATTTGTTGTCTTCATAATGCATATTGATTTTAAAACAATAGCAAACATGAGTTGGGATGCGAGTTCAGTTTAATATAATATAGGTTTTGAAAGTTATGGTATATGGTATATTATCAGTTTTGAAATTTGTCAGGGACTTATTGTTTCTTTGTTGACAATTGGTCAGCTAACTTAAATCCATTTTTTCCCTTTTATTTTTTCTGGATACATTTGCAGACCTATAGGACATGACATTAAAAGAGGTGAATGTGTGCTGGCCAAGGGAACCCACATGGGTCCATCAGAGATAGGTCTGCTCGCAACTGTTGGAGTAACGGAAGTTGAAGTTAACAAGTTTCCAGTGGTTGCAGTAATGTCCACAGGGAATGAAGTAAGGAAATACTTGTTAATGAAACATTTGCAGATTTTCCACAGTTATAGTAGTAATTCTTTGACTGCAATTTCCATCATTTTTAATGGTCTGTTTCCAAATTTACAGATACTTTTTTTCTAAAACCTTATTATTTTTTCAGCTTAATTTCACAGAAGGATTCTGTAAAAATGCTGTATTTCCTTTTTAAGTATTACTGGATTGCAAAAGCAGATCACCACATTTGATCAGAGGGCCAAATTGTCTCCTATACACTTCCCAAGGCCACTGATTTCAGTAAGTGACTTTACCAGAGGGGTCCCCCCCGCAAGAGAAAAGCTGCCTTTGTTGTCGTCCTTTTTCTTTGTATATGGAGAAGCACTGAGCAGTCCTCTGTGAAAGTCCCATCTACTCCAAGGACTAGATTACTTCCTAGGCTCGATTACAATAGTGTATGGCGCCTTCCCTTTTAAAGCCTTGAGCAAAGGAACAGTCTTCCCCCTGAATGTATTGATTGTTCTGTGTATCTCTCTGTATGGAAAATGGGAAATAAGCTGTATGGACTAGGCATATGAAGGTCATAGCCTCTTATTTCTGAGACAGGGGTGGGGAGCATTTTTTCCTTGCAACAAGAGTTCACCTGCACAGGATGTTTGACAAATCTTGTTGGATTTTTCAGAGCTATCATGATCATATTTTCTGGAATAAATGACAAGCTGCATAAGATTATTACAATTTCTGTGCAGAATGGCATGTTTCTTGTACAGGCTTCACATGGAAATTTCAGAAGATACAGCAAGTTGTGCACAAATTTTTTAAATTCTTTGCAGAATTGCATCTTTTCCATGTGGGTTTCACTGGGAAGTGAAACCCACATGGATTGTAATTGTATTTTAATTGTATTTTAATTGTATTTTAATCATTTTATTTTATTCCATTGAATTTAATTGTTGTAAGCCGCCCAGAGACCTTTGGGTAGAGTGGGCGGCATATAAATTTAAAAAAAAAAAAAAAAAAAAAGAGAATTAACATTAAGCAGCACAGAATATGGCAGTCTTCTGTGCAGAACAGTAATATGTGGGATGTGGAAAATTAGACAATAGGCTTGTTTTTATTGCAAGCTGGGAAATCTTGGTGCAGATGAATACTGAGATTATGAATGGAATGGAAGAGCACAACTTTTAGATAAGGCACTTCGATTGTTTAGAGGAGATACAACTTGTAATGTTTGTACCAATAATGCAAAATGTTTGCAAAAAATGTTACAGGTTGTGCTCTTCTCCCTATCTCCCATATCAGTTCTTCGGGTTTCCTTAGCAATAGTGTCTTTCTTTTTACGACAGTACCAGTTCATTTCCTTCCCTACCACTGAGAGCTATTCCGAACCAGATCATAATGGTACCTTCTTTAACTCTGGGAAAATATTCAAGGTTGGGTTTTTACAAATCTCAGAGAAATACCTAAGTATTTAATAGCAGTGATATAGATGTTGCAAGCTGTTTCACCCTCATATTATTAAACAATCAATAATTGTAGCAAGAATGTTTTCTTAAATCTGCAGAGTCTAATGAATTTGGCTAAACAAATACATTTGTTTGATTCCGGTGTAATACTAAAGTGTGGTTCAGCACTCTATGCACATTCTGGAACAAATCCAAGCAAGACTCAGGCTCACTTCCTTTCTCTACCCACATGCCACTGGGAAATCAACTTAGCAACATTCACTTATTGTTTTCCTAGATCTTGACATACCACTGCATGCAAACTGCAGATTGTTGTTTGTGACAGACACAACATGCCGGATTCAGACACTATGGTTTGAAATTTACTTTTCCTCAAAGTGTGAGTGTTTCATTTTATGGTTTTATAGCTATTGAATCCTGAAGATGACCTGCTACCAGGAAAGATAAGAGACAGTAATCGTTCAACTCTTCTAGCAACAATTCAAGAACATGGGTATCCAACAATCAACTTGGGGATTGTGGGAGATAAGTATGTACCATTTCTTTTTCATTTTGACTATTATGCTACTGTTACTTTAAAATGCCTGGCAATAATTTCTGATTTGATTTGTGAACTGTTGGTTCAATATCTAGCACTTTCAGCCTTCTATGAATTAGGAAATCCTTTGTTATCATTGGAGATTTTTGTCCATAATTGCTACCAAGGCACCAGTGTAACAGGAATTTTAAAACATGGATGGGTAATGCCTGTATTGTATCACTAGAATATTATGAGCAGATACATGTTTCTAAGCTCTGCAGGACATCGTAGAACTTGGGGTAACTGCAGGAGAAAGGGAAGCAGAAAAGTCGAAAAAGCAGGATTTTGAAGTGTCATGATCTGCAGTTGAACTGGTGTAGTCTGAAAACATTAATAAATCAGTTGGTTCTTCATCGTGGCCTCTGTGAAAGCACACATATGGGTCTTCTCTGCACCTGCGCTGACGATCTCAGAAGATTCTAGAGCTAAAAGTAACAATTTTATGGTGTGATCTCCCATGAGGCACATCCTCCTCCCACCTATCGTTCCCCTCAGTTCCTTTTTTCCGCCGTGCTGAAAGGTTCTACGGAAGAGAGAGAGCGATATTTTGGCCTTTGTGCCACTAATAACCGATTACCTTTTTCAGTTACCTCCTCTACAGACTTTTCCTGTTCTAATCTCCCGTGAGTTTTTTGCTTCTTCTCAAGATTTTCCCTCCTCCTTCTCCTCCCTGGGACTTTCTACCATCCTTCCCTCCCTTCCTGCCCTTTATGGCCTCTTTATGGCCTCTTCAGTTCAAGCGCTGTGTCAGCTGCAACAGTAAAATACTATCTACCGATGGCCACGACAAGTGCTTATACTGTTTGGGTGAGGAAGATCAAACCCAGTCCTGCATGGCTTGTAGAAGTTTTACCAAACCCGCACTAAAACACAGGCTCCAAAGACTAAGGTCTCACCTTTGGGAAGCAGCCATGGACCCCGCTGCCGTTGCTCCCACGGAGGCTCCACATTCTGAAGCAGCTCCGCCGCAGCAAATTCCAACATCCGCCATCCTGGGGCATTCTACTCCTTCGCCCCATTCTGAGGAAGGCTCCGACACATCTAGGGTTTCCAAATCTAAAGCCCCAAAACAGCATGAGCCTCCTAAGAAAAAGATAGAAAAACCTGTTACCAAAAAGTCTAAAAAAGTTAAATCTGTTCGCCGGGATCCACCCAGAGAGCGCCCACCCTCTCCAATACTGGAAGAATCTTCTCTGGAGGCTCCAGGATCTGTAGCGGAACGGGATGAGCTGCCTATTCCCTCGGCACAAGCTCCAGTCATGGCTGGGAAATTCTCTCCCTCCACTGGCCACATTGGGACTGAGTTTCCATCCAGTCCGGCCACTGCCCATTTGAGCCCAACATCAGGGCAGGCTTTTGACACCAAACCGTTGGAGCCTGAAACTCCTCCTCAGTCTCCAAGGAAATGAAAGGAGAAGAGGAAACATATTGCGCTACCTCCTCCAATGTCTCAGTTTGGCCAATGCTATAAATTCCCATTCTTCCCAGCTTACCAGCAGCTTACTTTCCAACAACTTGGCATGGAAATGTTTCCCCTTCACCAATCAATTTCAAATGGAAGCATATCATGGGTTCTCCCAAACGACCCCAGCAAAACGGTCCCGTTACAAATCTCTACCAAACCGTGAAGAGGCTCCACCTTCGACGCTGACATCGAAACCTCCGGTACCCCCTTCGACATCGACATCATTCTCGACATCAAAGAAACGCCGTACCTCTAATGCGAGTGTCCACCCACCGAAGCAAGTTAAACATTCCCTGAAGGTCCATCATGTCACCGCGACTACGGTATCCCAACCTGTTCCACCTACGATACATGCATCCCAAACAACTTCTCGCTCAGGCGATGACTCTTCAGCTATTCCATCAGCATCTGATCAAGACACTGATATCGAATCTTCACCGGAATCTCCTGCCAATATACCTACTCCTGAATTTGATCCTATTGACATGCGCCCGTTGTCTCCACCAAAGGACTTTACCTCTTATTCCCATTTGATCTCTCGCATGTCTGCTGCACTTAAAGTCCAGATCAAAGAACTTCCTTCTCCTGAAGCGGATATCATTTTCGATGACATCCACAATGAGAAATCACAACCTCTAAGTCTGACTTTTATACCTGCTGTGATACAAATAATTAGAGATGCCTGGGACACACCACCCTCAAATTTGAGAATTTTGAGACGTACTGACAACATGTACAGAACCCATGGTCTTGACATGGAATTACTGGCCAAGCATCCTGCCCCAAATTCCATCATAGTCGAGTCCAGTTTGCCCAAATCTAGAAGAAAATCATCAATCTCACCAACTAACAAGGAAGGGAGAAAACTCGATGTCATGGCTAGGAGAATCTATTATTTGCAGTCTTTCCTGCTCAGCACTGCTGATTACCAGGCAGCGAAGGGCGCCTACCAACGACTTCTGTGGGCTAAAATTCTGCTCATCCTTGAGTCTGCCCCAGAGTCCATCAAAATGGATCTCATGAATGCCCGTGTGGAAGCGACCTCCCTGGCAAAGCAACAAAAGATCACTGCCAGACATGCTGCTGAAGCCGCTTCTAAGTCTCTAGCATCTTCTATAGCCATTCGTTGCCATGCTTGGCTCAGGTCTACATCTCTGAATGATGATGCCAAACACAGAATAGAGGAGCTTCCTTTTGATGGCATGGGACTCTTCAACCAAAAGACAGATGACACCATGGAAAATCTTCATAAAATTCGAAAGACAGCTAAAACTTATATGAACCAATCATCCTTTCAGTCCTACAAACCACAATACAGACATTCCCAATATTACAAACAACCTTTCCAACCATTCCAGCGTTATCAACCATACCGACCTTTTCGACATCAACAATCCGACAGACCTATCTCGACACCAGGACCATCGACATCGACCACCCGTGCTCGAAATCATCAGCAACACCGCCAGTCCTTACCAAAGGCACAAGGGAAGGGTAAGGACTATCAACGCTATTGATACCCCTATCCCTATCCCTGTAATCTCCTATGATCCAACCTGCCCAAGATTGCGACCTTTTCTCCCATTTTGGAAGTATATCACAAACAACAAGTGGGTTCTTAATATTATTTCATCAGATTATCGCATTGAGTTTGAATCCGTTCTGCCTTTGGGCAACCTTAAATTTACTCCATACTCTGACACCCTCCACGAAGAAATCTCTACTTTACTTGACAAGCAAGCCATTATTTCTGTTCCAATTACTGACTCCCCTTATGGTTTCTATTCGAAATATTTCATGGTCCCGAAAAAAAAGGAGGCCTCCATCCAGTCCTCGACCCCAGGGATCTTAATACCTATATTTGACCTCAAAAGTTTCGAATGCTCACGCTTGACACCGTTATTCCCCTTCTTTCACAGGGAGACTGTTTCATCCTGATCGACCTCAAGGATGCCTATCTTCACATATCGATCCATCCAGCCCACCAGAAATTCCTCCGTTTTCATTTCAACAACTCGGTTTACCAATTCTGCTCCCTCCCATATGGACTCTCAACAGCTCCAAGAACTTTTACAAGGTGCATGGTGCCAATCGCAGCTTTCCTTCACCTCCAGGGTATCCACATCTACCCTTACATCGATGATTAGATCATCATGGCACAGTCCCGTCTAGATGCCATAAGAGCCACCCACATTACCCTACACACTCTTCAAAAACTCGGTCTCCAAGTCAATTATTCGAAATCATATCTGGAACCATCCTAAATGACTACTTTCATCAGTGCTCGACTCGACTCAATACAAGCCAGGGCATTCATTCCACAAGAAAGGATCAAAAAACTGAAACATGCCATAACCTCGTTTCAACCTCGAGCCTTAGTCACAGCTCAGCACGCCCAACATCTTCTGGGACTCATGTCCTCAACAACTCCAGTCATTCAACATGCAAGACTCAAGCTCAGATCCCTTCAGGCATGGTACCTCGCCCAATTCAACCCAATGGCAGACAACCAGTCAGAAAAAAACTACAAGTAACACCGGAACTCTTGTATCAACTCACCTGGTGGACCACAATGTCCAATCTCCTTGTCAGCTGTCCGTTCCAACCTCTTCAACCAACGGTACAAATCACTATGGACGCCAGTCCTTCCGGATGGGGCGCTCATTGCCTGCAATACAAAGTTCATGAACTCTGGACAAGATTGGAATCGACACTACACATAAATCACTTGGAACTCATGTCAATCATAAAAGCCTTCCATGCTTTTCTACCACTTATGTGAGGCCGAGTCGTCCAACTGGCAACAGACAACACCACTGCCCTTTTCTATGTCAACAAGCAGGGTGGCACCCACTCTTTCTCCCTCCTCTACCTGGTGCTACCGACACCATATTTTTCCAATTGCAGTGCACATCTCCACAGAAGAGAACTATCTGAGTCGTATCACATCGAGGTCGCATAAGTGCTCCTTCAAAACTTCCATCTTCCACCTCTTCTGCCATCACTGGGGAACACCAGACGTCGATGTCTTTGCCTCAAGATTGAACACAAAATGCAGGACTTATTGCGCTCGAGCTGGGGCCGATGCTGGTTGCATCAGAGATGCGTTCATGATCAACTGGTCAAGGGGGGCTTCTTTATCTCTTCCCCCCAACTCCGCTAGTACAAAGAACTGTGGTTCTAATCTGTCATTTCCATTCTGATGTGATCTTGATAGCCCCCTGGTGGCCGAGACAACCATGGTTCCCTTACCTTCAATCGATCTAGATGGACACATTCCGACTCCCTGATCTTCTGACGCTGAACAGCGGAATGGTCTACCACCCAGACCTATTGTCCCTTCACCTGACAGCTTGGAGGATACTCCCGAACTTCGGTCAGTCCTATATTGAGCTCGAAAGCCGTCCACCAGACTACTGTATGAAAGCAAATGGAAATCCTTCCTTAAATACACAAGGGAAGAGAACTTACCTGCCATTCCCAT